AATGTATATGTTGTTATGTATGTATTATTATATATTGTATAATAATACATACATAATACATACATAATAATTGTCATTATATATAACAATAGTAACAACAATAGTAATAATATAAATAATAACGATACATAATAATAATAACATATTACATAACATATTGTTTAACATTAATTTTAATTGTTCCATTTTATTTAGACAGATAATTAAATATATTGATGGAATTGATTCGCCACATATTGTTGGCGATCAGCAATATCAGATAAAGTTTTTAAATTTTATAAATAATGATAACGGTAGACGGGTTCAATTTTATCATAGAACGATGAAATTCAACGTATAACTTATATGTAAATCTCAATTAAAGGATCCCATAAAACGTAAAAAAATAATTTAAACAATAATTAGGATAGGAAATAATTGTCTAAAAATGATTATACTATAATTTTCACTTTCAATTAATTAAAATTTTTTCGGGAATAATATAAATTTAAAATTATTACTATATTGCGGCATAACAATTTGATAAAACGGAAAAAGATAACAATGATACATGGTGGTCATACTGTCTTGCACATGTTAAATAAAACTATAAAATATATTCACAACTTTCATATTTATAATTTATTTAAAGTGTAAATATTAACATACTTCCAATACTAATTTATTTTGCAGAGACTGTAGGAATAATATATTCTTAATAATGTTATTATGAGTGCGAGAGTAAGAAACTGAGAGAGCGAGAAGAAAAGAGAGAAAGCGAGAGAATTGAGAAAGCGAGAGATCGAGAAAGTGACAGAGGATGAAAGAGAAAAAGTGAGAAAGCAAGAGATGAAAGAAAAGATGAAAGGACAAATAGAGGAAAGAAAATTAAAATTAAATATATAAAAAATTAAATATATAAAATTATTAACTTACCTTCGTATAAATTTGCGCTTAAATTTTTGCATCCTTTTAACAGCCGCCGTGAGAAATACCATAAAATAAATTACATAAACCACCTTAAAACTATTGTTGTAATATTTTATTACACTATCACAAGATGAGCAATTTACAATTACAGTTACTTACAAAATAAGCTCATTTATTCAATTTTTATCGATTAATTAAATATTTCTGATCTATATTCTAAATGCATTTCGTTGCTATGAAGATATTCTCCTAAACGATCAACAAATTTTATTTGTTATTCTGTCTCCGTAAAGAAATCAATTAACTAATAATTTAAATACAACCCTTATTAAATACCGAAAAAATCATTTAATCTTCTTAAAAGAAAGGTAAATTATATCTTTATATCTTTTTTCAATTTTTCAATCTATAATTCTATCATACTATTCTTAAATACGAATATATACATATACAATCATTTATTCTCTCATTCTATCACATTTTTTTCTAATTATTTACTTCTTATCTTTCTTTTCCTTTTCTAGGGAAAATATTATTAAAATTATGGAAGAAAAGGAAGAAAAGGATAGAAGAAGAAGGAGAAGGAAGAATAGACATGTATGAGGAGAAATTAAAAGAATAAAGAAGGAATTAAAGATGTAGGGGTACAATGTGCATAAGTATAAGCTATAATATTAAATTGACAAGTTAGGAAAAAGCTTTAGTTTTATTTATGTTGTGTTTGTTATTTAATTGGTTATTTGTTATTTGTGTTTAATTTATTATTTAATTTATATAGGATAAGAGTGAAGGTATGAGGAATGAATGTGATAGATTTGAATGTAAACCAAGTCTCCTTCTTGGCAAACTAATATAATGCTTGAAGAATAATAAATTATTATTATTATTATCTTTCCTTTCCTTTTCTTTTCATCACTCTTATATTTTTAAATGTGTTTTTATCTTCTTACTTTATTGATTCATTTTTTTACCGCTAATTTACCTTCTCATTCTCCTGCTCTCTCGTTCACTCATTCTCTTGCTCCTCCCCCCCTCCTCTCTCTCTCACACTCTCACTCTTTTCCTTTCTGTTTAAACATATAATATCACTTTTTTATAAATTTATTTTGTATAGATTAATAAAGAACTCTATATAATGTCTGAACAAAAAATGGATGTTGATAAAGATAAATTTAAAAATATAAATAAGAATGTAAATCTTCTAGAGTTGTTAACTTCGAACGAAGTATTAGATTCTACATAACTCTACGATTCAATCGTGTAAGTATAAGTTGTATTAACACTTTTTTATTTTTTGATATATTGTTTTTATGACAAAAAGATAAAAAAACACTTTTTATACATTTATAAAAAATTTCTTATTCTTATTTTTTTTTTTAAACCAGAGATTTCATTAAAATTTGATAAAAAATTCATTAGATTTATTGAAATATCGTAATTCTTCAATTTTTGATTTACAATCGTTTTATAAATATTTATTATAATAAAGTGTTTATTTCAATGAAATGTGTGTGTTAATTTGTCATTATAAAATATTTGTGATTATAATAAAAATTCTTTTGAATTTTATAAAATTTCTCGTATTTACTTTCATTGAATTTTCATTAAAATTTCATTATAATTTTCCTAACAAAGTTATACCATCTTATACAATTACTCATTCCTTTAATAATAACGTCGTATTATTCTTACAACAAAGTTATCAGATATGTTGACGGAATCGAATCTCCTCGTTTAATAGGAAATATGGAGCAATATAAAGTTTTCAAATTTTATTTGAATAATGGTAATGGAAAGTGAGTTCAAGTAACCTGAAATGATGACATTGATTGCCGAATGTCATATATTATATAATCACGTAATACACAAACTTATTTATTTTTTCTTATTAATAAATAAATAATATACTAACTAAATAATAAAAAGATACAGAACAATAACTAAGTAATAATACTAATAAGACAATGCAATTAGACGAGAATTTTAATGCTATTATTGTGCTGTCATTAAATTGCTAGCAATACATACATACGTATATACATTCATATTTGCGCGCGCGCGCGCGCGCGCGTGTGTGTGTGTGTGTGTGTAATAGTCTGCATATTGTTTATTCAAAATTGTTAAAGATAAATACACAGTATGTTGTCGATATCATAAGCAATTACGGTTTATATAATTTTTCTCAAACAATTGGTTATCTGAAAATATTATTAAACTAAATTAAAATAAATTAAAATAAAGTTTTATAAAATGTAAAAATATTTATTTAAAAACATCATACATTTAGATGACGCTCAAGCGAGAAAACAAAAAAAATCTATTTTCAATAACGGCAATGTACCATTTGAGTTACTAATTAAATATAATACACTAGTAAAGAATTTAGGAAAGTATGAGCCCACTAATCTTGAAGAAGATAAG